GCAAATAAAATGCTTCCCTGACAAGGTAAATCTTAAGAAGTTATTCATCACGAAACCATTATTACATGAAATATTAAAGGAACTTATTTTTTAAAAAGATCAAAACTATGAACATTAAAATGGTAACAAATTCACAACTATCAACAACTGAAGCTAAAAATCAAATTAAGCAAACAAGCAGCATAGAAACAGAATCATAGATATGGAGATCATTTGGAGGGGTATCAGCTGAGAGGGGAAAGCAGGAGAATGGGGGAAAAGGTGCAGGGATTAAGAAGCATAAATTAGTCGGTACAAAATAGACAGGGGGATGTTAAGAATAGTATAGGGAGTGGAGAAGCCAAAGAACTTATATGCATGATCCATGGACATGATTTAAGGTGAGGAAATTGCTGGAGAAAATGGGAAGGACCAGTCAGAAGGGGGCAAAGGGGGGGAAAAATTGAGACAATTGTAATAGCATAATCAATAAAATATATTTTTAAGAAAGAATTTCATCTTTTTGGCTGAAGGGATCAAATTAACACAATAACAAACTAAGTTGTTGTTGTTTTTTTTTATCTGCTGACAGATTACAAACCAAATAAAATTATTGTAATTTGGACACTGGAAATTTTGCACATAAAAGGAAACAATTATTGGAACATATATGAGAGAGAGTCAATAATTTACTAGTTCATGTCCAAGAAAGTAAATGAGAAAAAGGAAATCATTTACTTAATACTAAAATCAAAATAACACTAAATGAGTTATCTTCATTGTTTATACACATGTATTTTATATTGATTCAGATTTAAGCAAAATATATAAGGAAAGCTAGGATTTTTTCTAGAAAATTAAAGAATATACCTTTTTCCCTATACTAATTATTATAGAGGTGGGAGTGAAAAAATGAGAATTAAAATTCTGTTATTCCATAACATAGTACTTGAATTTGTGAATACTTTCTGAGGAATTTTATGCATATTTTAGGTAAATGTATATACAATAAAATATGAAATTAAAAATTAAAGTATTTTTTCAAGAAGTACAAAGTGGTAGTTGCAAAATAGTCACAGGGATATAAACTACAGCAGAGGAAATATAGTTAATAATATAATAATTATTTATGGTACATAACTATTAGTTATGGTACATAATTATAAGTCTAGGTGGGTTCTAGACTTATTGGAGATTATTTTGTAAATTATATAAATGTCTAACCACTATGCTGTGCACCTGAAACTAATAATATTGAATATCAATTTTAATTGAAAAAAACACACTTGTAAATATGTACTGTATGGCTCTGTTTATATAATCTTTTAAAATAAAAAAGTCCAATTGTTTATGGAATGATAGTTAGTATTTAATTTTAGTAAAAGTTGGAGGAGGTTGATGTATATGATGTGAATGTGGTGGCTACCCTAGGGAAGGAAAAGAATCAAGGTTATGCAAATTCATGATGGGTAGGTTTCACATATACCTGTATTATTTATTGCAATAAAATCATACTGGAATGAGAAAAAAATCAAAATATTTTAAATTTAATTTCAATGATCATTTAAGAGAGAAAATTCTATAGGGTTTTATTAAAATTTTAATATTACTGATACTTCAAAATGTTGGCATACTGTGTAACCTAACACTCATCTTTCATTCCCTTAGGGTCCACTTTCATTTGCAACACTCACATAATTCCAGTGAAAAACCAAGAGGGCGTGGCTATGATGTTCATCATTAATTTTGAATATGTGACAGATGGCGAAAATGCTGCTTCCCCAGAGAGGGTAAACCCAATATTACCAATCAAAACCGTCAACCGTAAGTAAAAGTAATTTTTTAAATTTTTATATTCTGTTATTGATATTAATTTAATACATTGTTTGCATATTTCAGTTCTAAAAATATATTTACATAAAATAATTTTCTATGAAAAAAGCCACAGCTGATGTTACAGTTTTGTTCCTTACAGAATCAATCAATTGCTTTCAGAGCCATTTGACTTGTATATACCATAGTAAATTCAACTAGTCTCCTACTGATGGACATTTAGATTGTTTCCAAATTTTGGCTATTACAAATAATGCCAGAATACATTGTGCATGTATATTTTCATATGTGTATATATATATATTCGGGAAGAAAAGTATCTTCAGGGTAAGTTCTATAAGTCGGATTCCTGGGTCAATGTTTAAGTTAATCTAATTTTTTTTAGATACTACCGAACTTCCCTCCTTATGATTTGAACCATTTTATACTCTCACAAGCAATGTATTAGAACTTTTCCCCAAAACAATACTAACAGAGCAAGCCAGCCTTCTTAATTTTTGTCATATTAGTTTAGTAGTATCTGAATTAGTTTTAGTTTACATTTCTATTATTATGAGCGAGGTTCATATATTTAAGCACTGTAGATAGACCTTTCTTTTCTGTCAACTCTCCATTTCTTGTATGCACTTTCAAGTGCTTTTTTTGTTCTTTCAAATTTTAAAATAAGTTGCAAATCACTTCTTCAACAAATAGGGTTTTTTAAAAATCTTTTTCCTGATTTTTTCAAAGAGTTTTTTGCAATTTGGCTAAATTTATTAACCTTTTTCCTTGTTGATTCTGAATTTTTGAGTTATAGGAGAAAAGCTTTAACCATTCCAAGGCTGTAAGTAAATTCATTTTTAATCTAGAAATTGTACAGTTTTATATTTTAGGGTCTCTGATATATTTAAGTTTAGCTTGGTTTATAGTACAAGGTATGAATTTAATTTATCATTTTATCAATGGCAGTCCACCTTTTTATTGATTAGTAAATCTATCTTTCAACCAGTAATTTGAGACGCCACTGTTATCCCATGTTAAACTTCCTGTGTACTTCAATCTGTTTCTCAAATTCATTCTGTTCTGTTGTTCTATTTTTCCTCCAGGATCACATATTTTTAAGTATATCATTAATATCTAATATGAAATGCTCTTTTTGATATTAATATTCAAAGATTTGGAGTTATTTCTTGCCTAGCATTTTACATTAACTTTAGAAACAAAGTATCTAAGTAGAAAAAAAATCTCTTTAGTATTCTCATTTATTCTTATTAGATTCACGTTAATTTTTTAAATTAATTTGAATGAAATTAAGTCTTGATGCTGTTTAGTCATTCTATAAAAAATGTTTATTTTATGTATTTTCAATTTAAAGTCTAACTTTGGTGGGATTTTTTTGAAGTGTTTTCAAAATTTCCTCATTGTTCAGTGTGCTACTAGAAGTTTAATTTTTTGTTGTTGCTGATATTATAATAGAATCTTCTCTTTTGTTCTTTTAAAGCTACTGATTTTTTGAGTAGGTTCATACTATCTTAGTGAAATTTCTTAGTTTACAGTAGTTTATAGATTAATCTCATGAGTTTTTCAAGTATTATGTCAAATAGAGATTGCTTTACATTTTGCTTTACAATTCTTATACATCTAATAGTTTTCTCTTGTCTAATAGCCAGCTTGTACTGGCTATTACCTCCACTGTATCATGAAAAAGATGTTATTGGTGAGCACCATGCCTTATTTCTAATTTTTATGTGCATGTTACCAGCATTCCCAATTGAAATGATGTCACGTGGGCTGAGTTGAATGTGTTTTATAATTTTAAGAAAGTTTCCACAGACTTATATTTATTAAGAATGAGTGTTGAAATTTGAAAGTTGCCTTTTGGCCTGTAGCATAAGTGCACTATTCTCTTTTCTTACTTTTATGGTAATTTTATTAATGGAGTTTACTAATATGAATCTCTGGAAGGAAACACATTTGGATGTGATGTGTTTTATTTTGTAATGTGCTGTAGAATTAATTTCCCTAAGACTAAATTAGAATTTTTGCATCAATATTCATTACTAATTCTGTAATTTTTTGTATGTGTGTGAAATTTCATCAGATATTGGTATCAATGTTATAATTCCTTCAAAAAATAATGTGGAGTTTCTTCCTTGTTTTCTGTGCTACAGAATCACTTAAATAGTTTGGGAATTATCTAGTTTTAAAAGTTAAGTGTGATACATCTGCAAAATAATCTAGTCCTGGTAATTATTTGTGGAGTGGTTTTTTGACAAATTTCTTATTTTTCTCCACAGATTGGTCTAGTCAAATTACCCAGTTCAGCCAGTATGGGTGTTGCTAAATTTTACTACCAAGAAATTATCTCATGTAGATTTTTATTTAAATCTAGATTTAAATGTAGATTAAAATTTCATTAACAGAATTATACAAAATAGTCATTTATGATAATTTTAAGATTTCCTCATTCCTATATTTATTTATTTTGTGACATTTTGTGGTTCTTTTATTTTTTGTTTCCTCTATCTAAAATTTTTGATTAGTGCTTTTCTTTTCAACAACCCAATTTTTACTAGTTTATTAATTCTTTTAGTTTTCAAACTCACAAATGTCCTTTTATTTTTATTGTTTCCTAATGGCTTAATTTGTTGCCTTTTTTTTTCCATTGACTTATTTTCATCCTTTCAATTCTTTTTTGATATATGACCTTAAGGCTCTATATTTTTCTCTAAGCACTGCGTAAGATATACCCTGCGATTTCAGATGTGTAATATTTTCAGCATCTTTTTTCTAAAAAATATTCAAATTTTGTTTTCTTAGTTTTTAATTAAATAATTGTTTTGTATAAAAAGTTTTTAATTTTCCAATAGGAATAGTATTTTTCAAAGTATAACTATAATTGATATTTACATTTATAACATATGTTTTTCTTAATAGTAACATGTTATGTGTTAAATATATTATGTTTATGCCATTCTTCTTACCTTTTTAATATGTATTTCGCTTCTTTTTTCTGTTGTCCTTTCATTTTTAATTTTTAGCAACATTTGTATTTTTTTCTAGTGGTTATATCTTTATAAAAAAAATTTGTATCATGGCCTTAATCACTTCTGCTTCCCCTCAATGTATTTTCATTCCTTACTATGAGCAAGAATAAAGTTAGCTGGTATTTTTTTTCTCCCTTTTCCACCATGTGATTTTAGTCAATAATATTATCTTAGTGCTTATCTTTGTACTCTGAAGTGTCCCTAGTCTTAACTGTATGTGTGTTGTTAGGCCCGAGGGCCTCTTCCATCCTTGTCAAGGGGAGTGCTAACCTTCTCTTCTTCCAAACAACACTGAAATGTACCTAGTCTTTTACCATCTAGTTTGTCAGTTTAAATTATGTCATCTGATTGCTTCCTATTACTAAAAAGACACTTAGTAAGTTTATTTTATGTTTTCATCTTTCTTCTGCCATTTTGATTGGCCATGGTATTTTTAGCTTCTCAAGTCTGTAATGTTTACATATTTACATCTCACTTTTTTATGGTTTTCAATGTCTAATGAAAGGTATTCAATGATCACTAGTCTTTTTTGCAAATGTTTTCCTAAATACAAGGAGTAACCGCCCAAAAACAAAATTTATTTGTTTTAAAAAATTGTGTATTTATTCTTTCATGTTTAAACTGCTGTTACCCTCAAAGTACCCTCCATTTGATGCAACACACCTATCAATATATTTTCCCACTGCTCCGAGCAGCTTTCAAACTCATTTTGATGCTTTTTAGTGCTTCTGTCATTTTTTGTTTCACGTCTTGCACTTTAGAAAACCGTTTCCCTTTGAGAACTTTTTTCATCTGAAGAAATAAAAATGCATGTTTCTCTGGGAGAGGTTGGGTGAAGAGGAGGATGGGACATGGAGATCACGCTGTTTTTGGTCAAAAACTGTTGAACACTAAGCACAGTGTGGGCAGGTGTGCTTGTAAATCCCTCATCATAAAATGGGAAAACATGTTGAAAGAGTCTTCAAAAATAATTTACTGAAGTCAAACACAGCCTCTTGTAACAACACCAGTTAGTACACTGAAAAAGATGGGTTCCTAGAACGCCCATCTAGGGGAAAGCCTGTACCACAAGGGGCCTGCCCTCCAGAAGAGGGTCCCAACTTGTATAACTTTTGGATTAAGTTTATTCTTTTCAGAAAATGGTCATGAGTAAATATTTTCAGTGTTCTTTCCCATTCAACATTATTTTCTGTAACCTCTGCTATTGAGGAACAGTTAGGTAGATATATTTGGCTCACACTTTAATGCCTCATGAACCTTATAGATATTGTTTCACTCTTTTTTGGCATCAGATGTTGATAATGTAAAGTCTGATATCAACCTACTTGACTGTCCTTTGTGATCTTAATTTATTTCCCATAGTCCCAGAAAATTTTAGAAATAAACTAATAATACACTTCAATCAAACTGAGAGACTTTTAAAGTCTAAAATTGTTATTAGCATATGTCTTGATTTGATTATTCCAACTCAGTTTTCCCAGATACAATATATAAATTTAATTCATCTTTTGTTTCAGGAAATTTCATTATAATTTTTTCCCAAATTTAACACTTTTTTTACATTTTTTTTAAATTTTTTTATTTTTCAAGTACAATTGCATGCATTTTCCTGCCACCACATTCCTTTGATCCACCCACCCCCACCTCCCACCCTCAATCCTTCCCTACTTTGGCTTTGTCCATGGGTCCTTTATACATGTTCCTTGACTTGACCCTTCCTCTTCTTTTCCCCATTACCCACCTCCCTCCTTGCCTCTGGTTACTGTTGGTTTGTTTTTTCTTTCTATGTTGCTGGTTATATTTTTCTTGTGTGTTTGTTTTGTTGATTAGGTTTCACTTATAGGTGAGATCATATGGTATTTGACTTTCATCCCCTGGCTTATTTCACTTGGTATAATGGCTCTCCAGTTCCCCCCATGCTGTCGTGAAGGGTAGTAACTTTTTCTTTCTTTCTGCTGCACAGTGTCCCATTGTGTAAATGTACCATAGTTTTTTGACCCACTCATTTATTAATGGGCACTTAGGTTGCTTCCAGCACTTGGCTATTGTAAATTGTGCTGCTATGAACATTGGGGTGCATAGGTTCTTTTGAATTGGTGAGACATCTTTTTTTTTCCCCAGAAAAAACTTACTTTCAAAATACTTAATGTATTATCTAAATAAGGAATGTGTATGTGTGTGTGTGTGCCTCCAGGTGGTGGGATTTAACTGAGAGTAATAGGGACAAGGCAACCGAGATGTGAGCTTCTGTACATTTAAATGCTTCTCTTGAATTGTAAACAACATATAGGAAAAAATATGAAGTAACAACACAAGAAATAAATAAAAAAGTGAAATATTAAATTTAGAATATTAAGTGAAAGTAAAGGAGCTAAATATACAATAGAAAAGATAGATCATACAAAGGCACCATGATAAATGGAGCTGAATAAATTCTGGAACCTAGAGACTTGTTTTCTAGTTAATGAATTGGTGGACCATTTTTCAGTACACATATGTAGTTTAGGGTTAAGAACTCTACACAAGAAAAGTGAACAGCTTTCTCTAGGAAATACTAATTTTTAACAAACTTATTCTTTGTCAATGATCTAGGACCAGCTGCTTTATGTACCCTGGAATAAAGCAAGTAAAAGAAAGAGGATTATTTTGATAGGCATACCTGTCAAATTAATAAATACTTCACAACTGAATCAACAAATTGTTATGTAATAAAAATAAGTACCAAATAAAAGATATAATTAAATATTTTATTTCATTGATAACTTCCATAAAAACTCTGCAATCTAAAAATTGGCAATGATACAGACTAGAAAAGAAAATTGTACTTTTTCTACCAACTAGAAGGATGCCACATCTAAAAGGAATAACAACAATGGAAAAAATGAGTTGTCTCTCTCTTTTTTTTTGCTCTAATATATCTGTTACTATAAAATATTTGCACAATGTGAAATATAACCAAATCATGTGTTCTTCTAGCTTACACTATTAACTTCAAAATTAATTGTTGTCAAGTTTGAGAAAAGGTTGTTTTTATTACTTTAAATAAGGTACTTTTTAAGTTTCACTTTAAATTATTTACAAGTATATTTGAGTTTTATATATCTTCTCTTTTATAGCAGGAAGCTAGAATCACCAATCTGGTTCACATACACATACACACACACACAAAGATGCACAAATTTTTAATTTGTTAAAAATTTCCTGAGGGAGACTGAGAAAACCTTTGTTTGTTTGTTTGTTTGTTTGTTTTGTTAATTAGATTCCACTTGCAAGTGAAATCATACAGCATTTGTCCTTCTCTGACTGGCTGATTTCACTTAGCCTAATTCTCTCCAGGTCCACTCACGCTGTTGCAAAAAGTAAGAGTTCCTTCTCTTTTACCGCTGAGTATTATTCCATTGTGTAAATGTACCATGGCTGTTTTTTGGAGGGTTTTTTGTTTTTCTTTTTGTTTTTGTCACCTATGCCACTTCTCATTTTCAAATGGTAATTTGATCCTCCTTGCACTCACATTCAACCAAGACAGATACGCACTCTGGTTTGCTGACCACAACCCCATCTGCTGCCCGATTCCATATGAGTAAAGTGCTACATTGCAAGAAATAAAAATAATTTCAACCATTTTAAGTAAAAAGGTGTTTAAAATAGAGAACCCACAGAACTGTTGCACCCCGATTGGAGAAGTAGCTCCAGGCTGGGCCTCCAGGGATGACCCCAGGACACTGCAGGACGAAGCAGATCAGGAGAGGCGACCTGTGCCAAGTTGGGAAGGCTGACTTGTGTCAGAAGGACAGTGTCAACCTGTGACTTTCCGTGCCCTTTCCTAGCTGTACAGAGAGGCTCTAGACATCATGGTTGCAAAGGACTCTGAACACCTGTAAAATCTAGGGATGGCGCACGGGAACACTGCTTGGGGGAGAAGCCATAGCTGTTTCATCCACTCATGTACTGATGGCTCTTGGGCTGTTTCCAAATCTTGGCTATCGTAAATAATGCTGCAATGAACATAGGGGTGCATATCTTCTTTTGAATTTGGGTTTTGGGTTTTTTTGCATATTTTTTCAGAAGTTGAATCACTGGATCATAAGGCAGTTCCATTTTTAATTTTTTGAGGTAACTCCATACTGCTTTCCACAGAAAACCCACTTTAAATAAAAAATTATTAATTGAAAAATATGCTTCCAAAGAGAAAATGAATGCATTATATGTTTTAAATTGTTCAACTCTAGTTCATAGCAGGTATCGCCAACATTTTGCAAATAGTGAGTACCTAACATGTATTTGTAGAACATGTAAAGAAATAAATAGTATTATTACATTGACTAATTAAGCTTTTCTCCCTATTGAGTCAGCATTCACCAGATTGTCTAAGTCAGTGACTCTCCAAGCGTAAGACCACCAGCATCACCCTGCAGCATGTCAGAGATACAGGTTCTTGGGTCTTACTTCAGAAGAACTGATTCAGAAATACAGAAATTCAACAATCCATGTTTTAACAAACTCTTTAGATCATTCTGATTACCACTAAATTTTGGAAACTACTCTTAATTAATGTTTATATAAAACTATAAAGATAAATTTTAACCTAAACTAAATGTAAAAAATTAATAAAATAAACTTTTTATAGTTTCTTCCCCTTTCAGTAATATTTAAAAGGGAAGTTTTTATCTTATTAAGGGACTGTAATTACCTTTCATTGTCTTTGAAAGGATTAAAACTGTACTCCTCAAATCAAAGCAGAATTTTACTTTTATCTTTCCCAAAATAAAGGTTTGAATTACTTTAAAAGCTTTGACCAAAGCTAAGTCTACACACACACAATACAGTTGGTAATTTAGGGAATTATCTAGCTAATACAAGCCATTAAAAATGTATTTATATGCTTTGGACTCAATATTATGAATAATCAGCACATAAAATACATATTTTCCTGAATAGCTGCATTACTCCCTCAAATTTGTATCTCAATTTTTCAGACTTCAAGCTAGGGAACAACTAAATTTTCTGTATAGCTGTTTTATAAAAGGGCATTCACGGTGTTTTTATTATTCTCCATTGGAGCTGAAAGTCATCCTTTAATTCAAAGATGAAGAGCCTCTATAGTAATATAGAGTTTTCCTCTCAACAGCCATTACCTAGAAACAATCTATTATTTAGATGAATTTAATTAAAATTTTTACAACATAACATGTTTTCTGTTATGTGATTGGAAGTTTCCTCTTTTTAAAGATTAAATTTGATATAGAAAAAGGAACGATAACGTGGCTGCTAATGGAAAAGTTTAGTCATAAG